GCAGGCGTCCTTGTCGAAGGGACCCTGGGGGCCAAGAGGGACGAGGGAAGGCTGGCCAGTGAGTCTCTTCCCCACTGTGCCCAGCACCCATTCAGAGGAGCCTGCTGGGAAGTGTGCCCCGTGGGGAATCTAGGCCCTAACCCCCTCTGCTATTTTGGAGGTATGAAGAATTCAGCCTTTCACGGGAAACAGGCTGGGGAAGGTGCTGACTTGTCCAGGCCACGTGGATATTTCCCTGAAATTCCAGGAGTCTGTCTGAGTGGGCCGGGTCACAGCATCCGCGTCACTGTGGCCACACTGCTCGTCATCCGCACTCTTGTTCACATGCAGACTTTTATGGAACACAAGCAAAGCACCCGCCACCCTGCACGCCACTGTGCCAGAGACTTGCAGCTCCCCCACTGTCACACCAGGGCCACTCCAGTGCCACACGGCCCACTTCCACAGACCCCTGGGCATCGTTCACCTCAGCCCTGAAGCTTCACCTCCCCCAAGGCCTCCAACTGCCTCCACTGCAGCCCAGGACACTGGCTGTCCCCCACCGGGCCTCACACTCCAGCACTAAGCCACCTCTGCCCTGGCTCGTGTGCACGTCTCTCACCTTCCGCTGCACTGGGGCCTCCATGAAGGCAGGGCTGGGGGATTTTCCTTCTTCATGAACGCAACACAGCGCACGGTGCCTGGCACCAAGTACTCGCAAGTGTTTGCGTGACCTCATCTGAAAGCTGGAGGGTTAGCTAATTTGGAAGAAGCATTCTTATGGTCAGAGTCCATCGGTCCAACACCCATGGGAAGAAACTGCCCTGCAGAAGCAGCAGGGTGCCTTTTTCAGTGGCATGAAGCCCCAGAGCCACCGGCCCCTGCTGCTGGAGCCACTGCAGGGCACCGCAAGGGCCACCGGCATAGGGAGGGTTTTGCTACAAATGTAATTTGCAGTTTGTAAGTGGCAAGAGATGCCACCTTGATAGCTCTCCATGCCACAGTGGGGCCCAGGGACTCACCAGCACCCCAGATGCCATCACCTCAAGGTTGAGCCACGCTTGACACTCTATGAGGGACACCCAAGAAAGCAGTGGCAGCCCATGCGACCTCACAAAGGTTATGGCCTCTGGCCTCCAGACACCTGGTCCGCAGCGCCATAGGTGGCAGCACCTGCTTGCAGTGGTGCTCATGTAATTTGTCCAAGTGTCCAGGAGGAGGCCCAGCCGGAATCTGGGGTGCAGCTCAGAAGGCTATTCCTACCCGACGCCACCCTGCCTGGTAGTCACATGCAGCCGCAATTCCTGAGCTACCAGAACCCTCTGTCACCTGGAAAGCTTGTCTGGGTGGCTCCTGAACTGTTTCCCTCTCCTCAGTCCCCCCAGATTAGTGTCGCCACCCCTACTGACTTCAATGACACCAGCCACGGCAAGCCCTCTGCTCTCCTGCACCTCAGTCCCCATGAGGTCATCAGCTCCGAGAGTGAGGTCCCTGGACAGGGATGTGTCAGCAACGCAGATTCTCAGGGCCTGCTGCAATGGTCTGAATGTTTGCATCCCCAAAAATTCACTTACTGAAATCCTAACCCCCAAGTGGATGATATTAGGAGGTGATGCCTTTGGAGGTGATTTAAGTCATGAGGGTAGAGCCCCCATGATGCAGTTAGTGCCCTTATAAAAAGAGACCCCAGAGAGCTTGCTCTTCTCTCTCCACCATGTGAGGACACAGTGGGAAGGTGCTGTTTGCAGCCAGGAATAGGGCCTCAGCAGATCTGCCAGCTCCTTGATCTTAGAATTCCAGTCTCCAGACAGTAAGAAAGGTCTGCTGTTTAAGCCCTACCGTCTGGGGTAATTTGCCGTAGCTGCCCGAGCTGAGACCCTGCCCAAACCTACTGAAGCAGAAGCTCTGGGAAGGGCCCCGCAGTCCTCTACCCGCCCTCAGGGACGCACTCACACACTGGGAGTGAGCGCTGCTGGCTGAGGTCATCGTCCCGCACTCAGAATGTGAGGGCTGCACCTCCTCGCAAGGTCATCCCAGGCAGGCTGAGGGCTGACATCCTCACCCGCCTCGCCTGGAGGGCTGCACTCGCAGGCCTCTGGGTGGCCCTAGGACAGGGTACACAGCTCACCTGGCAGGAGAACCAGCCTTCCGGTGTGCAGAGACGGTCGCCAGCCTCAGCGCCTCTGTCGAAGTAGCTGCCGTTGTACTGCACAGACTTGAGCTTCTGGCCCATGCAGCCGAGGACCCGCGTATATTCCTCTTGGGCTTCTGCACCTGCCATCAGTGTGTAAGAGCCCACCTTGAAAGACAAGGAATGTGTCTGAGCCTGTCACACATGCCCTGAAACCTGCACCAGGCCCCGACCCACTCCACTCCACAGCCTCAGAGACCCTGCCCCAGCCCCGTCCTGCGGCCAGAGGGGCTGAGTTCACAGGACCACATGGCCACTGCTTGGCTGTCCCTCCTGGGAAGCTGCTCTGAGCCCACGAAGCTAAGCACAACAGGAGGCTGGGTGGGCACTGGATGTGGCAATGCAGCCCACGGTAGCGGCTGTCTCACTGTCTCACTATTGTCAGGCGAGCAGTGGTCATCGGAAGAGCCAGGGCCATTGTACTTGGAGCAGAAAGCATCAGTAGTGGTTGGTAAAACTACAATGAGCTAGGTTAGCAAATTCGGGGAACAGACAGTCACCAAGACCTCGCAGAGATGCAGAAAAACAGAAAAGGCAGCGAGTGCTAGCAACGTGCTGCGCCAAGTGGGGGAGCCGAGGGCACAGAAGCTTGGCCACGTGTGGCAGCGTGGGGACAGGACACGCCCCTCGAGGGGCCTCTGTGGGGCCCTCCACATGCTTAGGGTGTGTTGTGGCATGTCACTGTATGTCATGGTATGTAATGAGGACACCCACGTTCAGATGGGGCAGACAGAAATGAGGGGCAGAGCTGGCTCCACCCTTGGGAGGGGGGTGGGGGAAAGGGTTTAGAGAACCAAGGACAGGCTCTCAAGAGGGAGGGCCACGTGATGGACGAGGGTGACCTGCGCCTCAGCTTGGGCTGCCTGGACCCTCAGACCTGGGCCAGCACCTGTCGACTTTGGACCCAGTCAGGCAAATAACGAAATCAAGCTCTGGACATCCTCTCCACTGCTGCCTGGAAGAAGCCTGGCATGTGGGTAGGGAGTAGGTGGGCAAGGACCCACCACTGTCCCCACCTGCACCCCAGTGTCACACAGCCCACTTGAGCACAGGGGAAGACACCCGACAGGTGCTCGCCTTCCTGGGAGGGAGCAACGATGGCGGGGCAGGTGCAGGATAAGGGCACGGGGGTGGCAACACAGCAGAGAGGCCCCGAGCAGGAAGATGTGCCAGGCGGGAGCAGGAGCTCAGCAGAGACATGGGGAAGGGCCGAGCAGGGAACGAGGTGAGGCACACAGGGCCAGGAGGGGCCTAAGACACCCCAGCCCCAGGAGCCCTCGGCATAACACGCTCCCCAGGAATACACGCCTGTGCCTGCTTCTCCACCAAAAACTAAAGTTTGTTCAAGATCTTGGTGGGGTGGAAGCTGAGGGAACAAGCTGACCTCAGAGTTACTTCCCACCACACAAGCACAAGGCCAGCTGGCACGAAAACAGACTGAGGAGCCCCAGGCCGTGTGCCCCCACCCCACCCACTGTCACCAGAGCTCCTGCTGCCCTGCTGCCGATCGCGTGCCCACGGGACAGCCACCAAGGTGGACAGCTGTCCCTAAGCCATCC